GGCTGTCTGTCCCTCTAGTTGCACCTCTGGTAACATCTTTCCTGAAGGAGAAATCGCCTCCCCCATCTAACATTCAGCATCCCGCAATATCTTTCCAATCCTTTCCCATTTGTAATTCACTGCATTAGCCCAGCTCTAGCAACACTGATTCACTCGCTGCACCCAGTGCCAAGTCAGGGCTCTGGCTAGATCTTTTCCTCCCTTCCTTTCTTCCTCTATACATAGAGAACACTGGAGGCCAATCACTACAACAGAGCACTGCCCCACAGGAAGAGTATTTTTCAAGGTCAAATAGCTCCTGCACTTGCTAAAGATGCTAAACTGGGGCATCTTGGAGTTGCAGATCACCAATAACATGATCCTAAAGAAAACTGCAGCTTTCAAGGGAGATTTAAGAGTTAAGTGCTAAATAACTTCTCCCACCATCACATCAGAGTGGGTGAAGTGAGACTCCACTGTATTGTGATAAAGATTGAGATCAGGTTACAGATTAAGTGTCAAATCATTCAAATGGCAGACCAGCGAGGTTTAACAGCCTGAAAAGTCACACTAATGTCCTTCATTGGTCCCTTTGCCAAGCACTTTTCCAGCTTATTTACCACCCAGCATGATCCGGAAGGGGTACTGGGCCACCTCTTTATCATCCCATCTTCATCTCATTAGGACTCATTTATCCCAGACACCCCAACCAAGCCTCTCCACCTCCACCTTATACTTGTACACTTTATACTTATACCCAACATTAATTCCTTATCCCTTCCCAGCCTCTGCAAGCCCACATCGCCTCTGGCTCAATCCTTTACCACAGAGCTCAACCCCTTCCAGCTCCACCTCATTCTCCCCTCTCATTTGTCATCACTTGCCCCCCTCCACAGCTCCACATACTCCTCACCCCAAAGCTCCTCATCCCTTTCTCACCTCTCCAGCCCTATAACTCCTTTACCCAAAAGCTTCTCTCAGCCCTTCTTTACTTTCAGTCCCACCTACATCTCTCCTACAGAACTCAAGCTCTCCCTCACCTTCACCAGCTCATCTGCTTCAGTCAAACCCCTCCTCACCCTCATCCTCCTCACCTCAAACCTTCCCTCCCTCACTGGCTCCTCATCCTAAACCTTTCCTTATCTTCACTGGCCCCTCATCACTCCAAACCCTCCCTCCCCTTCATGAGCCCCTCACCTCAAACCCCTCATCACCTCAAAACCTTCCTTCCCTTCAGCAGCTCATCTCCTTCAGCCAAACCCTTCCTCACCCTCACCTTCATCAGCCCTTCATATCCCTCACCACCTCAAGACCTTCACCCCCTTCGCCTCCCTCCCTTTCACTGGCCCCTCATCATCTCAAACCCTCCCTCACCTTGATGAGCCCCTCATCACCTCAAAACCTTCCTCACCTTCACCAGCTCACGTCCTTCACCCCAACCTTCCCTCACCGCCTTCACCTCAAACCGTCCCTTCCCCAGTTCATCTCCTCGGCCAAGCCCTCACCCTCATGTCCCTCACCGCAAACCTTCCCTCACCCTCACCCGCTCCCCATCTTCACCCCGAACCTTCCCTCACCAACCAACCCCTCACCTCACCTCACGCCTCCCAACGGCTCCTCACCCCCCACCCCCCGCTCGCCCCGTACCTGCCCCCGGGTCTCCCCCTGCACCCGGGACCTGCTCCGTGCGGCGGGGGGGAGGGGAGGAGGCGGCGGTGCCGGGAGGTGCCCGCGGCGGCCGGCGGGGAGGGTGGGGGGGAAGGAGGAGAAGGAAGGGGTGAGGTGACCGGCGGCGGCACGAGCGGGGCGGGCGACACCGGGCACGAGCGGCCGCTTTATACCGGGCTCCTCGGAAACCGCGTCCCGCTTCCGCTTCCGCCCCTCCCCGCGCCTGGGGTCATGAATATGCAATGAGGTGGGCGTGGCTTGGACCAGGAGGGGCGGGGGGCGTTGCTAGGGTGATGGGTACGGCCGGCTACGGGGTCCGCCGGGCACCTCGCCAGGGGTAGGGTGCGCTTCCACCTTGAGCCGGGGCCGGGTCAGGTGCAGCGGCCTCGGGGAAGGGCGAGGGGAGCGGGGCCGCTGCCGGAGCTGGACGGGGGTTTCTGGGCGGAAAGGGAGCCCCTGGAGCCGCCGAGCGGTGATGTAAGGGCGGTTGGAGGCTGGCACCTGAGCTGCCCGCGCTGAGATAGCGTGTGTTTACCTCAGGAACTCGGCGGCGACATGGCGCGGAGCCCATCTGTCCTGACTGAAAAAGTTGTGCCAGACGGCACCAAAGTAGAGTTAGATTGGGTATAAGGGATAAATTCTTTACTGATGAGGGTGCTGAGGCACTGGCTGCCCAAAGAAATGGTGAATGTGGGAGTGTTCAAGGCCAGGTTGGACACAGGGACTTGGTGCAAGCTGCTCTAATGGAAGGTGTCCCTGCCTGTGGCAGGGGTTGGAGCTTGATGAGCTTTAAGGTCCCTTCCAGTCCAAACCATTCCGTGGTTCTATGAAGTTGATAACTTGGGAAGTGCTGGAGAAGTCGCTGTTCCCAACCTGAGGTACTGCAAATGCATCAACCCCCAACTGTTGATGTTTTCCTTCATCATAAGGGAAAATAGCACCTTTTTTTCAGTTTTGGCCACACAGGAGGTCCCATCCTGCCGCCTCACCTCGGCTTTGCTGCTCTTCACCATCCAGAGGCCGTGAGCCTCCATACATCCAGCCCCATGTTTTGGTGGGGAGGGCTGGGTGACCATCCCCTGCTCCGAGCAGTGGTGCAATTCATCATTCACATCTTATAGACAGTATACAATGTGCAGTTCATCATTCACATCTCTTATAGACAGTATACAATGTGCAATTTATCATTCACATCTCTTATAGACAGTATACATTGTGCACTGACCCCAAGGGAATTAAAACTCTTTGGTCCCAATTACAGCCTCATTGTGAGCACCCCCTGTGCATTTGCCATAAAACACCCCATGTTTTTAACACGGGAGTGTGCTTTTTAGTCCCAGTTACTTACATCTCCCAGCCTTAATTGTGCTGACTGCACTGAGCAGGGCAGTGTAATAAATACTCATTACTTCCATAAACTGGGGCCGCATAGAGGAGCGTGAGTGGCATGTCAGAATGCGTGTTACGTTGCATAAGTGTGATTGTTCTCTGCTTCTTGACATGCCGTTAAGTACGTTTTCCAAAGCAAGTCTGATTTATGGTGGACTTCTTTCTCTTGCAGCTCATGAATAAATAAACCGTGGAGTGTGCCAGATTTGGGAGAAAGGGAAGCCACAGAAGGCAAAATGGAAGAACTGGGAACATCTTACTATTAGAAAGCAGTGTGAATCTTGAGGCTAGCAAAAATACTGCAAGCCCTTAAGGAAAGAAAAGACATTAATCTTTTATTCTAGAACGCTGGTCTTGACGTATAATTATTTGGAGGCTAATTCAGACCAAGGACTGAAAAGCATGTGTGACCACAGTCTTGCACAACTCACTAAATTAACCGTACTCTGAGGATTCCCAAAGAATGATGGTGGTTTTTACATACTACTGAGTTGTATAAATATTGCAAGGATAGTGCTAGCGCTTTTTGGGGGAAAATAGAATCATAGAATCACAGAACCGTTTGGGTTGGAAAGGACCTTAAGATCATCCAGTTCCAACCCCCTGCCATGGGCAGGGACACCTCACACTAAACCGTGTCAGCTAGGGCTCTGTCCAACCTGGCCTTGAACACCGCCAGGGATGGAGCATTCACAACTTCCCTGGGCAACCCATTCCAGTGCCTCAGCACCCTCACAGTAAAGAATTTCTTCCTTATATCCAATCTAAACTTCCCCTGTTTAAGTTTTAACTCGTTACCCCTTGTCCTGTCACTACAGTCCCTAATGAAAAAAAATTGCTAAATAATTCTCTTAATTATACAAGTAGTCTAATAAAGTCTACTTACTTCACTGCTTAATTAGACAAGTAGTAAAGATAAAGCCCAGTGTAATGCCTACTCTTGGCAATAAAACAACCTCCATTGTATTATAACTGAATGTGTGTAGCACAGCTTAAGTTCATTCCCCAGAAGAAACAAACTGTATTTATAGCAGTAGAAATGTCTAATGACTCATAAGAGAGAAGATTTCAGTGACTTTAGTGGAAATTATATGCAACCCTGAAACAAAACACCAAGAAGGGATCTGAAGATGTGGGTGTAGTTACAACTTCTAAGACGTGCTTCTCCTTACCCGTAGATCAGTGGCAGCCTGGGCTACCTGATGTTTTGAAACCTCACTTTAATAGGAAAAAATGACTTTTTTGTTGACCTCTTGTTGCTTGCTGTTGTGGTGGAGCGTGATCCTTACCTCACCCTGACGTTCCAGACCTGTTCTGGCAGTGGCCAGACATGTCCAGACGTGTCCAGATATTTCTCCATTCTATTTCTTCATGTTAATTTCACATGAGAGTTGTTGTCTGTCAGCCCCTAGCTAGAGTCAGAAAGGGTAATTTTCCATAAAACATTTAAATTTAAAAATCCAATCTTTTATAGCAAAGAGTGGAGGGGGAAACAGGCCCACCTTTTTCTTCTGAGGTTCTTACTCAACTCCAGATATTTAACCCATCATAAACCCTTCATCCTCAAGTCTTGGCAGGGGAGAAATGAATGTCAGTCAAGAGGCTGCTGTGCTGTCCAGACGTGTGCTACATTTGGGATTGATGTTTGTGGGGCTAGGAGGAAACCCCCTAAACTGTGGTTGAGAGCAAGGTTGGAGATGTGCGCTGCTCCCTGGTCTTTGTGATGTCTGCATTTAGCAGGTCCCTCCTCAGCAGGGTGGTAGGTGTGGGTCCTTTTCCTCTCTGCATCCTTAGGCAGTGTTTTGAGGCACTTGGGTGAGAGCTTTCCCTAAAGAAAGCACCCAGAAGTCACTTCTTGATGACTTTTATTGTGCATGTTTCCATGTTGTGAGTCACGTAGCTGGAGAAAACCTCAAGGGACTGATCCCTTGCTTATCCTTTCTTCCACTGGTTTGTTTGTTGTGTAATACCCAAGGACTTTAAACAAAATAAATCTACCTCTGAATGCTGGAGACCAACATCCTGCTCTAAAATCCCTGCCTTGTCTTGCCATAGCAATCAGAGGAAGGGGTCTTCCCTATTTAATGCGATACCTTAATTAACCAGACCTCAAGAGCATCAACAAGCTACCGTGAGTTCTCTTTACTCTGTAGCTACTCAGCTCCGCAGGTACTTGGCTTACAAAATTGTTATGAAAAGTTCATACGCAGCCAAGCCAAACAAACAACACCCCCACCATCATTTTGCACGCGTGTCAAAGAGAAATAATGTGCCGCAGGCAAAGCGGGTGAAGGAATTTTACGAGGCTGCGTCTGATCCTCCCTCTCCCCTCCCTCGGACAGTTAAAGCAATGCTTGTGTGATGAAAGGGGTAAGGGAGCAGAGGACAGCTGATTAGGATGAAATGTGTGAGCATTATCATGCAATAATGGATTTAGCTGACTGTTTGCCAATGGTCAGATCTAGTGTGAATTGCTTTATATGAAACTCAGGGATTCCTGCATTATTCTGCTCCTAAATCCTTTGAAAGCTGGGACTTTAAAAAGGAAAAGGTAATTCTTCATCTGGATGGACAAAAGCCCAGGGGATTGTTTTGACTTGCTTTCAGACTTAATGATGTTTGACACATTAATTGGGAGTGGCCATGGGTTTGGGCAGCCTGAGGCTAGACTTGAAGCAAATCTCAGCACTGTGAAGCCCAGGTGAGGTCTCCCCAGCCAGGACACTTGTAAACAGGACATGAAAAATGAGTCTCAACTTTTACACAATTGGCCTGTAACTTACCCTGAGGGTATCTCTCACAAAGGGTGAGATATCTGATGGGAAACCGGTGCTCTGGGCTTGAAACTGCTGTTTATCCTTCTTCCCACCCTCCCTCAACATATGCTGTCCTTAAACTGGAACTTTAATGGTTGTGTAAAATGGTCCCTTGATGCTTTTTCTGTTTTTCAGCCTAGAAACGTTGGGATGCTTCTGGTTTCTGCCTGTCAGATGAGGGCTGTAGACATGCAGCAAACCAACAACAGATATTTTGTCTGGACACAGACAAGTCTTACGAAGGTCTTACAGACAAGAGGATTCTGTGTGTGAGTCCGTGACTGGGACCCAGACACGCAGATTTGCCAGTCAATTGAGGTTTGCTTGTGGTAGCCAAAACTGACTTTCAGTTCTGAGAACCAAATGGCTTTAGACAGGACCTGTGGGCTTAAGAGAGTGACCTGGCCCTTTGCCCTGTCTCCTGCTCCAAGTGTACCCATCTGAAGCCAGTTGGTTCATATTAACAATCCTGAGCAAACAGGGTAGGGTGACCCTGTGTAGGGTCTCTTTGCCTTTCTCCTGTGCTGAAACCTCGAGTAAAAGCAGTAGCTATACCTCCTCACACAATTCCTATATGGCAAATAAACGGCTCGTGGTGGAGACTCAAGTTTATAGCAGTTATATCAGCAAAGTGCTGATAGAGGCTGTAAGATGAGTTTGCTGCAGCCACTTGTGAGGTCTCATTGTGAGTTCGTGCCTTGAAGAATGAGAACTCCCTATCATTATTCTCCTGCTTTGCACAGCTAAAAAGGGATATTAATGGCTGCAAAAAATTACCCTGCCTCTTGAATTGATGTGGTCTATAATTATCTTCACAATAAAACTGTGAGGAATTAGGCTCCAGTGCAGTTTATAGCTGACAAGGGATGAGTTGACAGGCCTTCAAATGCTGTGGCTTTCAGTCCTTACCTATGTGCCAAGAGCAGTTAAAATGCTGCTAGACAGCATTTGGGGATTGCAGGGCTTGATGAGTTCAGTCACTTCTTCCCTTGCAGAGCAGAGACCAGAACTTCTGGCTCTTATGCTGTTTCTGTTTCTTTCAGTTTGGGCAGTGAGCTGCTATTAGTCAGTTTTCCTTCCGAGCTGCCTCCTATTAAACCATGACTATGATGTTTATGAGGTTTCCATTGCTGCACTGGGATATTTGTACCTCAGTCTCTATGTTTACTCAAAGCCAAATTGAAAAATGGATATATTTTCATCAAATTGGGTTTGCAAAGAAACCAAGGCCTGAACCAAAGCCTGACGTCCAGGAGGCTGTTTGAGTCTGAAGTGATTTTCAAGTGACTCCATTCACATTAACCTTACCCTGATGAAAGCTGGCTGGTATTATCACCAGTGTATACTGGTGAATACAGAAAAAAGACCAATTGGTTTTCAGGCTCCTGCAGCCTGGCTTTCCATGTGGAGAGGCACTCTTCATCAGGGACTGAGTGATAGGACAAGGGGTGATGGGTTCAAACTGAAACAGAAGTTGTTCAGATGAGCTCTTAGGCAGAAGCTCTTCCCTGTGAGGGTTCTGAGGCGCTGGCACAGGGTGCCCAGAGAAGCTGTGGCTGCCCCATCCCTGGCAGTGTTCAAGGCCAGGTTGGATGGAGCTTGGAGCAACCTGCTCTAGTGGAAGGTGTCCCTGCCTGTGGCAGGGGATGAAACTTGATGAGCTTAAGGTCCTTTCCAATTCAGACCATTCTATTGAAGATTCTAAAGCCAACTTCACTGAAGTTTCACCTGAGAGATGTTGGTTCCTTAATAATCTCTTATACCAACACAACCCTCATGGATTAATTTGTAGATGACAGCCAGCTGGGCTAGTCCAGTGCAGACTAAAGTATCATATTTATGTGGTCACAACACAAATGCTTGCCCTATACCTCTGGACACTAAAACATGACCTATAGTTAACCGAGCATTTGTCCCTCTCCATACCCCTTTGTTTTCCAGCCCTTAGCTACAGCTGGATTAATCTATCAACCTATTATTCAAACCACGTGTTGCTGGGCACGTCTGTTTTGATCACCCAGGTGTGACCTGAAGCCTCTATAACCTTCCTGGAGGACTCACTTTACTCTTGGCTCTGCTAAGGCCTGTTACAACAGCATGTTGTTATTTATCTCATCTCTCTCCTTGCCTAATCGGTCACGTACCTACTCGGTGTTTGCAATATAGTGAGTCCCAGCAGAGACAGGATTTAAAATTGTTTAGCCCTGTGTCATCAAAACTGCATGTGGAAAACCAGCAGTGTTCCCTGTATTTTTGGAAAATCCTAGGAAACAACCTAGAAGGAGCAACACCTGAGCTAGTGGCTTCTGCAGCTATGACTCAGTGTGAGCACAAGTCCGTGAGTAGTCACAAAAATAGACACTGTTGTGCTGACTGTATTCAAGAGAGGGGGTTATGTACACTTCAAAACATGAGTAACGCTCACCTGGGTGATGGCAAAGCGAGTTGGATTGGCACTGGTTGGCAGTGGGATGGAAAATTAGTATGTAAAGAACCTAGTGATTAAGATAATGAAAACAATGTTAAGAGTCTGAGGTGAAGCCAAGTTTTATAGCCCTCGAGCTTTTCATTGTGAAATTGTTGGCTCTCACTTTGTTTCTGAAATAGAAATCTATTTAAATGACTTAAGCAACACAAGTCAGGGTGGCAAGGTACTGGAACAGGTTGCCCAGGGAAGTTATGCATGCTCTGCATCTGTGGCAGTGTTCAAGGCCAGGTTGGATGGGACTTGGAGCAGCCTGGTCTAGTGTGAGGTGTCCCTGCCCATGGCAGGGGGTTGGAACTGGATGAACTTAAGGTCTTTTCCAACCCAAACCATTCTGTGATTGTATGAATGTGTGATTCTGTGATTCTATGATTCTGAGTTTCGAGAATAACCCTGAGCAGACTCTTGTTGTAGTTGTGACCAAGAAACTGAAATGAATCGGGTGAATACTTTTTATTCTAATGGCTTGAATTCCCAAACACAACCAAACAACTGCAAAGCCCACGGTGTTTCATGTGAAAGTAATTTTAAACTTTGAGGAAAAACCAAGTGCATTTCCAAACCCCCAAATTAAAATCCCCTCAAAATACAGAGGTTTTCTTAGGGCTTTTTTAATTGCTCCCACCCTAAACATTGGGTGAAAATTGGCAAATTCCCAGTTTGTGAATTAAAACAGTGTGTTCAAGATTTTTTCCCACTTTCCTGGAGCTGAATATCACCCCAGCCACCAACTTCCATCCTGTGTTTGATTTGGGGAAGTCTCTCTGCTTGACAGACAGTGTGGATACTGCATACTGCTGTTGGGGTCCAGCTTCACTTTACAGCTAAAATGATTTAGAAGTTAGATGCTCCCAAAAGGAGCAACTTTCCTTTCCTTTTCCTTGATCACATATGCTCAGGGCGAGTTGGTTCATCTGGCTGATCCGGTGGGAAACCCTTCGTGAAAGAGTGAATAGTTTTCTGTTGAATAAACCACGCACGTTGACTCACGTGAGAGTCCTAAACCTTGTTTCAGCTTGCAGAGGCTGGCAGGGAATGGTCAGGCCCTTTCACACAATATTGGCTCATCCTCCAGTTGTCCCCTGTGACCCCTATAAAATTATAGAATCCCAGACTGGTTTGGGTTGGAAAGGACATTAAAGATCATTCAGTTCCAACCCCTGCCACGGGCAGGGACACCTTCCACTAGAGCAGCTTGCTCCAAGCCCCTGTGTCCAACCTGGCCTCGAGCACTGCCAGGGATGGGGCAGCCACAGCTTCTCTGGGCACCCTGTGCCAGCACCTCAGCACCCTCACAGGGAAGAGCTTCTGCCTAAGAGCTCATCTCAGTCTCCCCTCTGGCAGGTTAAAGCCATTCCCCTTGGCCTGTCCCTACAGGCCCTTGTCCAAAGCCCCTCTCCAGGTTTCCTGCAGCCCCTTTATGCACTGGAGCTGCTCTAAGGTCTCCCCTTCAGGAGCCTTCTCTTCTCCAGGCTGACTCAGCCCAGCTTTCCCAGCCTGGCTCCAGAGCAGAGCTGCTGAGCCCTGTGATCATCTTCACAGCCCACTTTCCAGTTCCTTCTCAAGCAATTTCATTTTCCTCAAACTCTTCCCTGATGTTCCCAAAGAATACAACACAATCTGCTGGAGGGGGACCTGGAGGTGGCACTGCTTTTCTGTACAGCTGTGTGTGTGAATACCGTGCCAACAGCAGATAGAGCAGGGGCATAAGAGAGATGTGCTTTCCTGCTGCTCTTCTTTGGGAATCCTATCAGTTCTGCAGCTTCTTTCCTTATTTATAAAGGGAGCCTGAAGACTAAGCTCCTGACTTAAGTACCTCAAACACCCAGGGCTGCTTTGCAAGGACCAAAAGTTTTGTATTAGTATTTTGTTTCCTTTTCTATTATCAATGAAGAAGAGGCAGGAAGGAATATTTTCTTCAATATGCCAAAAAAAGGAATAAAGATACTTCCTCCTTGACTGGGTTTCAGCCCATTTTTTTGACCTGGCAATGCATTTATGCTGGTTGCAGGTGGATGCTCTCCATAGGGATGTGTTGCCACTCACCTGGGCTGGAGCACAGGAAGATAATAAGCTCAGAAGCAGATTGAATGGAGATTACCTGCAACCTCAAAAGCACACTGAGAGAGGTTGTGGCTTAAGATAAAGAAGTTAATAAAACTGAGAGGAGAGAAAGTTCCTTGCAATGAGGTGATTTGGGACATTTAACAAGCTCCCTAGGGAAGCACTGTTGCTGGGGATAATTGAGGAGAGACCAGAAGAAATGGTTAGGGGGACATGGATTTTTCCTGTCAAGCAATCAGTCACATTTCTGCCCAGAAAAGGCCCTCCTCACTCCCAATTAAACAAGAACTGGCCTGAATGGGTTGCTCCAATTTGAACATAATATGTGGGTTTTTTTTTTCCAGCTGGCAACAGTCTCCTGCATTTTCCTCGCTCTTGTTTTCCCCCATGGTAGTGGTTGTGCTCAGACCAGAAGCATATGTTGCAAAATCTGCCAGAAAAGAATCGTTTTCACAACTGATGTTTTCTGAAATGCCTTTCACAAATTGCCCATCGGTGCCCTTGGAGACAGAAATCCTCTCTGTAATGATACAGCAGGTACAGAACAGAACAGGGTTTCCTTATCATCTATCAGACTCCAACTGGAGACTTGCTGGCACTGGTGCCATAGCTCATTTGGTCTTTCACCTCCTTTCTGAGATGCTCAACAAGCCCATGAGGTTTCCTTTAGGGTTTATTTTTCAGTCCCTCATGAGCAACAACCTCTTGATGTGCTCTGGTGGGGCTGTGATTGGAGCTGGAGAAGCTCAGAGGAGTATTCAGGGACTATGGAGCATGAACTGAGCTGAGATTTAGGTTTCCTGGTAGATGGTCCTGAAAATGACCTGTCAGACGGCCACGTCCTTTCATATTGATTTTCAGTCACACTGCTGCACAAACTCTTCTGAGAGAGGTGAGTGTGTTTTGTAGGGGGATATCTGCTTTACATCATCCCTTCTGGCTTGTTTTGAAGTTCACTTCCCACAGACAAGAACTGCTGTGGTGCCATTCCCCTTTTACTGCCTCCCCCCACTGCTAACCAAGCATTCCCCCAAAACATTCCTTCTCTGGCTTGCTGTTAACTGCAAACTTCAACCTGTTTCCCTGTGCTTTAAGCAGATACAAGGTCTCTCTACCACATGGATTTACTTCTATCAAATACCACAAAATCCATGCTCCAGATAAGCCACATGCAAATCTCCTCCTTTAACCGCTTCTTTTAACAAAGTTGCAGCATTTCATCCACTCTGTGATTCTGATCTCCCTCTGAAATGCAACTTGAAGCTCAGATGTTTCAAACTTGTCAGGAAAGGGGACATCCTATTGGACCAGCCTCCCAACCTTGGAAAACCGGTGTGTAATTCAGAGACAGGGGCAAATTGGAGTTCCCAGTATTGGACTTGGAGTCCCTCTGGCGCCCAGTCCTTGCAGGGTTTGGAGGCAGAGGCTGCATTTGCACCCCTGATGCTGTGTTTAGCCCCAGCCCTCTGAGCTCCATCTGAATCCTGCCCTTGAAGCCAACCCCAGGAAAACACAGAGCTCTCCAGGCCTTCACTTTCCACCCATATGTGACATAAAATACAGAGCTGGTTGGAGCAGACCTCTGGCAACCGCACTGTCAATGACAGGAAGAAAGTGAAGCTGATCCATGACCATTCCAGCTCAGCCCACAGTGTATTATTTGAACCACAAAAAACTCCATGCACTGCAGGGATGGATATTGCACCACTCATCTCACTGGTGCTTTGCAGGATTTACCTTTTCAGAGCTCGGAAAGAGAGCGCAGGAGCAGAAATCCCCATGATTTCCAGTGTGTGTGTGTGTGTGTGTGTGTGTGTGTGTGTATGTTGTATTCATTGACTTTACTTTCTCTCTCTAATGACCTACGAGTATCTCTTGTCTCATGGAATTGAGTGTTGTTTGCTTGTTCACAGTTTCCTTTCCTTCCGTTATCCAGCGATGAAAGTTTGCTTAAGTGGCTTTTGTGAACTCTTTCAAGATCCCCAGAAGGATGATACAGGAAACAGAGAGTTTCCTTTCTATACAAACTCATAGGGTGTTCCCATAATAGCCTCAAATTTATCTGCCCTCAACAGCCTGCAATTGGACAAGAAATTAATGAACTGTCAAAACACAATCAACGTGTCAGGGAGAGGAGCTTGGAGTAAAAATCAACCCTCCACATACGCAGCACTTTTTATCCCACGTGGCCAAACACTTTTCTTTCCATGGTTCCAACTTTACAAGTTGGCTGTGCTTTAACCATTCAGCCTGAAATTTTCCATCGTCGCTCCCTGCCTCAAGTGGAATACATTTTCCTGAGAGGAGTGAAGGGGGAAAAGTCACACACACAAAAACCCCCTCTTAAACAGGCACAGTCATATTTCATTGAGATTAAAGCTAAAGCATTTCCTCAATGTTTAAGCTTTCTCCCTCTTTCTTTTGAAGAGCACTTTTACACCGCAGGAGGCTGGAATGGGAACAAGACACTTGGGGCAGTAGCAGCGCTGGGGAGCGGAGT